GTGACCATTCTCAATCCAACAACAAGTGATCTTTGTAAAAGACATTTCAAATCATATTACACCTCTGCTTGAACTCTCCAGAGGGTTTCTCATCCTACTTTAAATAAAATTCTAACTTCCTCCTTGGACTTCAGTCTCTGCAAAGTTTGGTCCCAAATCTACCTCTCTGACTTCAGTTTGTATCATTCCTCCACTTGGTTATGCTTTTTACCTGGTTTTAATATGGTTGGTTCTTTCTTGCCCTTTCAAGTATCTGCTTAAATGGCACCTATTTAGATAGGTCTTCCTACCTAAATAGGAATTCAGGCACTTAATTACACAGCCCTCTTGTTTATAGTATCTGTTCTTTCTGATATATATTATATCTTATATATATTATATATTTTAGCATAAATCTGATATAATGTATATCTGATACAATATGTATCTCTGATATAATATATAATACCAGATATAATATATATCTGATATATATTTTTTACCTGCTTTCCTCAACTAGAATGAAATATTCATGGGAACAAAGATTTTGTTTTATCACAACTGTATTCCCAGGACCTAGAACAAGGCCTGGGGCTTGTTTTTTATCTTTAGACAGGGTCTCAAAGATATTTGTTGAATGAGTAAGTGGATGAGCCACCAATAGCATATATATTAATTGGCCCTTTATGACTATGGTTTCAACCAGTTCAAGAGGATCTTATAGGATTCTGAATTCATGATGGCTATGAGGAAGGCAAAGAATGGAACTGATCTGTATTGCCCTAGGATAAGAGCAAAGTGAGCTCTCCCCAATGAAAAGTAAAGCTTGTCCTTATTATAATCATGGTAAAAGCAAGTAAGCTATCTGATCTAGATAAAATCTCATGATAGATTTCATAAAATGTTTCACTAAAATTGATATATAATCTAGATTTGTCTTTTTAAAGTTAGCATTGGAAAAATCAATATTATCTAGCAAATGTGGTCTTTTGAAACACTTTGCTTTTGTTTGCCCTGTTCTCTAAAACAGTTACAATTTTTCTTCTTAAAATTTGCTCTATTATTTTCACTCACAAGTTCCTTAGCAGATGGTAATTATAAGAATCAATCTTTTCTTTTTGAAAACTGCTTTCCTAATCCTCAGGTAATTTCCCTCCTCTCTATTGCTGCATAAAAAAGCTTGGTTACACTTTTTTGGTTCACTGTTTTGGGGGCTATATCATGACTAGAGAATAAGATTTGTAGTGCTTGCTATATAGACTTTTAAAAAATCTCTTTAAATCTCATTTTCAAAATCCCATTTTCAATGCAATCAAAACAAGTCTGTGTAATTTTATTATGTGCATATCAATTCTATATGTATTCCAAAATTGGCACATACCGTCTGTTAAATTTCTTACATTGAAAAAAAATCTGTTATTGCGCATTTCAGAAGATTAAAAAAAAAACAAAACTCTGAAGACAGTTATGTTAGAAATAAGCATTGTCATTTAATTCATTACGTTGGGTACTAAAGTATGGGAATACCATGCATAAAATTACTTATTTCCAAAATATAATGAATATAATGAAGATTTTATACAAATAACTCTTTATTTAAAACAAAATGATGCAAGCAACAGAGTAAAAGGTGCTTTTTGTAAAAAAAGAGAGAGAAATAAACATTAAAAAGAAAAAATGATTCTTATTTTGAAAACAAATGAAGGTCTTAAAACATGCTTCTATAGAAATATAGAAGATACTAATATATATATGGAAAATGATATAATTGGAAAAAGTTTCAGTTTCAGAAAGACTATTGGCTGAAAGGACTAATGCATAATATTAATGACAAATTAATTCATTTGTTAATGTAGCATATATGTATATATAGAGGTATGTGCATGTATATTTGGAAGTCACAATAATGTATATTAGTAGCAACATAGAAATCAGTACAATTAGGCCGCTGCCTTAAGAAGACTTTAGTTTGGGAAGCAATGCAAAAGACTAGACCTAATTTATAGGAGATAAAAAAGAGCAGTGGGTAAACATTTCCTAAAAAGAAGTACTAGGGAATTAAGACTGAGGAAATCACTCTTAAAAGGTATTATCAAGTAAAGCTTCATGAGAAAAGTGACATTTGATGAATATATTGTTGTTATTATTTATAATAATAACAATACTTAATAACATTTATAAACTGTTTATTCCAGATATTGTGGTCTTTGGAACTAGAATTCATAGATTCAAAATCCACATCTGTCACTTACTATCAGTAACTGCTTATCCACCTGCAAAATAAGGATATTGATAGCAACTGTCTTATGTCACATTAGAAAGTTTTAAGTTAAATGAATTTAAAATGTATGAGTCAAATTAATTAAAATTCATAAAACAGAAAATTGGCATATAGTAAGCACTATGTGAAGTTTTTGTTAAATTGATACTTACATATATTTATATGGATTTAAGTGGAAATTTCAATAATGTGCATGCACCATGAAGTGCTGATTTATTGGTCAAGACTGAAGGCTACTATTCCTGCACCATAAGAGAGGGAAGTGGTGAGGAGGAATGGTGAGATATTTGAAGTGACCAAATAATAGTCAATAAGAAAAAAATAAATGTTTTTGATATACTTTTTGTTCTCTGCAAAGTGTCCATCGGAAAAACAGAAAGATAATGCCAGATTAATCACTACGTATTTCTATTTTTTCCAATAAACCATATTATTTCCTCATTACGAAAAAGGCCTCTTGGGAATAGAAGGCATAATGTTGTCTTCTAAAAATAAAAAATAATTATTTTTTAAAACTAAATCAGAAATCATGGGTAGTTAACATTGTCTTTATCAAAAAAATTGGCTATTTGCTTAAATAAATATTATATCCTCCAAAGGAACAAAACCTTAAACTAAGCAATTCTTTGAGTGCTATATAAGTCCTATATGTCCACATTTTCAGATTCCAGCATGTCTGGCATTAGGTTAAGCATTTGTGATATTTTCTGTTTAGCACATTATTGAAATTTCCACTTACATCCATATAAATACATTTAAGTATTAAACAGGTCTCTCACTAAGCTTACACTCCTTGATGGCCGAGTCTATCTCTTGTTTAATATATTGTATCTAGTACCTACATAGTGCCTGGCACATCATAGGTTGAATGAGTAAATAATTGAACCCAAAAAGAGTACACAAAGCCTAGAAAGTACACTGTGCCTAGTTTAGGGAAACTAAAGAGATGACACCTAGTGAAGTTAGGATTTTCAGAAAAACAATGAATAATTTTTAATGTAAGTATCTCTCAAATATTGCATGGGGTATACTTACACTAAAAATTCTTCATTGCTATCTGAAATTCTGATTTCACTGGGTAACCTGTATTTTTATTAGCTAAATCTGGTAACTCTAGTTATTATAATAAATTAAGGTTTACTCATTTATTCATTTAGTTAGTTATCAACAAGTAGTGATTGCTTCCTTAAATTATTAAATGATGTATTCCCTGCCTACCAAGTGCCAGGACTTATAAATAACACTGGCAGATGCTCACTTCGTAAAGCACTTATTTCAGTGGGAGACTGGGAGAGACAAAAAATAAATAAGTATTAAATTGGCAAGATAATTTCAGTTAATGATAAGTGCCATGAAAAAATACCAAGCAGGATAATAAAGCAGAGCATGATGGATGGATCAAGAGCTACCTTGAGTAGAGAGTGCAGGAAGGCATCATTAAACAGTAAAAAGAATCCAGTATGTAAAGAGCCAGAAAAAGAGCACAAAATGAAGAAGAAATAGTAAGTGCAAAGGACCCTGGGCAGAAATGAATTTGACTATCACAGAAAAAGAAGAGAAACCCATTGGATTGTAGTGGGCAGGGGGCTAAGGTATAGCGAAAATGTGGTACAAGAAGAATCAAAAGCCAAAGCATGAAGAAACTTGCATTGCATGGGATGGCATTTGGATTTTATTCAAGTTGCATAGGAACTACTACAGTGATTCAGATAGGGAGTGATGCAATCTGAAATATTTTTGGTGGTGGTTGTTGTTTTTATTTTCTTTATTTCTTCTAAAAAAAAAAAAGAGGATACATGTACAGAACATGCAGGTTTGTTACATAAGTATACGTGTGCCATGGTGGTTTGCTGCATCTATTGACCTGTCTCCAAGTTCCCTCCCTCAACCCCCACTCTGCAACAGGCCCTGGTGTGTGCTGCTCCACTCTCTGTGTCCATGTGTTCTCAATATTCAACTCCCAGTTATGAATGAGAACATGTGGTGTTTGCTTTTCTGTTCCTGTGTTAGTTTGCTGAGGATGATGGCTTCCAGCTTCATCCATACCCCTTTAAAGGACATGTTCTCACTCCTTTTTATGCCTGCATAGTATTCCATGGTGTATATGTACCACATTTTCTATCCAGCCTATCATTGATGGGCATTTGGGTTAGTTCCATGTGTTTGCTATTGTAAATAATGCTGCAATAAACGTACATGTGCATGTGTCTTTATAGTAGAATGATTTCTATTCCTTTGGGTATATATCCAGTAATGGGATAGCTGGATCAAATGGTATTTCTGGTTCTAGATCCTTAAGGAATCGCCACACTGTCTTCCACAATGGTTGAATTAATTTACATTCCCACCAACAGTGTAAAAACGTTCCTGTTTCTCCACAGCCTCACCAGCGTCTATTGTTCCCTTACTTTTTAACAGTAACAATTCTGACTGGCATGAAGTGGTATCTCATTGTGGTTTTTATTTGCGTTTTTCTGATTATCAGTGATGTTGACCCATCTAATCTGAAATACTTTTACAAGACCTCTTGGAATGCTGTGGGAAAATGGATGAGTACAGTGGGAGGGTAGGAGTGGATGTGTAGCACCAGTTACAAGGCTGGGGTTGACAGAGACTCATAACAGGCTATAACTTAGATGGGTGAATTGGAATCCATGTTGAAGGCAGAAGCAATAGTACTTACGAATAATTCTTAACTCTGGAATCAGAGAGGAATAGTTAAAGAAGGAGAGAAAGCCACTTGTTTTCTAGGTATGGCCTGTATATCAGGTAGAATAAATTGATCTTCTTTGTCCTTCATTCCTAGTTGCCTATATTGGCATCATCGGTGGTTAGCCTCTATTTCCTCGAACTCACGGATGTCTTCAAACCTGTACACTCTGGATTTAGCTGCTATGACCGGAGTCTTAGCATGCCATACATTGAACCAACCCAGGAGGCAATTCCATTCCTCATGTTGCTTAGCTTGGCTTTTGCTGGACCTGCAATTACGGTAAGAACTATCCCCCAAATTGTGTTTATCAGTCCTAGGAAGCCAAAATAAATGGGTTCAAAGCAAGCAAAAGGTGAACTCTAAATCTTGAGTCAAAATCATGTCTTTAAGATACTTTGATAGCATCATGTGGAAGTTAACAGAATAACATTATTGGCATTAAAAGTTAAACATTATATGATTTGAAAAATGATTGATCCCTAGTGTTTATTTGTATAAAACAATATGAAAAGTTTTGTAACTGTGTATTCCTCTTTGAATGGCTAATATGACATTTCTGATATACTACCTAATTAACTGACTTTACATGTGTTTATTTGGTATCTGAAGCCTGAAAAATTGGGGAGGAGAAATTACAGAGCCAACAGACTTGCTTCCAAAAGTGCGTTTGCTATCACTTATTCATTTTTAAATAGATTATTGCTATTGATTATGAGTACTGAGCATGAATAATTATAGATATCAAAACTCATTCCAGCCATGCATGCACACATACACATACACACAGACACACTCAAAGAATAAAATGTTTTATATTCAAAGAAGGCATTTGTATTTATAATATGCCCATAAATTCAAAATAGCTAGAATAGACTAATTTAATGTTCCTAGCATAAAGATAAATATATACGATGATGAGTATCCTAATTACTCTGACATAATATTTACATATTATATGAATATATCAAATTATCAGCTATACCCTGAAAAGATGTACATCTATCATGTATCAATAAAAAATCTAAAATAAATAATTACATAAATAAAATATGTACATAAAGAAATGCTCTAATGTACTAGAACTGAATTCAAAACCTAGTTGTTTTTAATGTGTTAATATACATTGTGAACAACACACTTTTAGATAAATCTATTAATAAATAAGACAGGCCAACCCTTTTCACCACTACTTTTGGCCCAGAAATACTACCTAAGGGGATAAGAAACATGTTTCAAGGGAAATGATATTTACTTCTATGGTGAAAAAATCTTGTTTTCCTTTTAGCATGTACGTGAATGTCAAATAAAACGGCTGTTAACTTAAAAGCTTTATTTGAATGCAATTTTTACCAGACATCCCAATGAATTGGCTTATTCAGGTTTAGTACAGCAGCAATTTAAGATTTTCTACAAAGATCTTCTAAACTCTATACTTTTATATAGCTATGGAATTTTAAAATTTCCTAATATTAAATAATCATAACATGCTGTTTACACTATAAATACATAGTGTATAAAATATTCTCAGAAGACAAAATGGAAACAATTTTCATAGAACTTTTTAATATTTAAAAGGTTTTAAAATACTTTATAAGTTAATCAGTTATTCTACAGTGACTGTTAGATTATTAGAACTATTAATGATGTACTTGGAAGAAGCTGAGACTCTGAGACGAATTAAACATTCTTGGAGTGCAATATTGCTCAGAATAACAGTATTTTCCTGTCATTTGCTAAAGTTTTAACAACAACAACAACAAAAAAACATACTATGCAGTCATTTTACCAGGGCAGAAAAACAGAACTAAAGACAAAAGGGACATGATTATCTCAACAGATGCAGAAATGGCTTTTTATAAAGTTCAACATCCCTTTATGTTAAAAGCTCTCAATAAACTAGATATTGAGGGAACATACTTCAAAATAATAACAGCCATGTTTGACAAACCCAAACATCATACTGAATGGGCAAAAGCTTGAAACATTCCCCATTGAAACCAGCACAAGACAAAAATACCCTCTCTCACCACTCCTATTCAACCAAGTATTAGAAATTCTGGCTAGAGCAACCGGGCAATAGACAGAAATAAAGGGCATTCAAAAAGGAAGAGAAGAAGTAAGACTATTCCTGACTAGTCACCAGAAGACATGATCCTATGTGTAGAGAACTCCATTGTCTCGGTCCAAAAGCTTCTTAAGCTGATAAGCAACTTCAACAAAGTCTCAGGATACAAAATTATTGTGCAAAAATCACTAGCAATCCTATACTCCAACAACAGTCAAGCTGAGAGCCAGGCAGCAAAAGAATTCCCATTCACAACTGCCACAAAAAGAATGAAAACCTAAGAATACAGCTAACAGGGGAAGTGAAAGATCTCTACAAAAAGAGCTACAAATCACTGCTTAAATAAATCAGAGATGACACAAGCAAATGGAAGAGCATTCCATGCTCATGGATAGAAAGAATCAATATCATGAAAATGGCCATACTGCCCAAAGCAATTTATAGATTTGATGCTATTCCCATTGAATTACCAATGACATTCTTCATAGAACTAGAAGACGCTATTTCAAAATTCATATGGAATCAAAAAAGAGCCCAAAGTGCCAAGACAATCCTAAGCAAAAAGAACAAAGCTGGGAGGCATCATGTTACCCAAGTTCAAACTATATTACAGGGCTACAGTAACCAAAACAGCATGGTACTGCTACAAGAACGGACAGATAGATCAATGGAGCAGAACAGGGAACCCAGAAATAAGACTACACACCTATAACTATCTGATCTTTGACAATCCTGACAAAAACAAGCAACAGGGAAAGGATTCCCTATTCAATAAATGATACTGGGATAACTGGCTAGCTATTTGTAGAAAATTGAAACTGAACCCCTTTCCTACACCCGATACAAAAATCAACTCAAGATCAATTAAAGACTTACATGTAAAACCCAACACTATGAAAACCCTGGAAGACAACTTAAGCAATATGATTCAGGACATAGGCACGAGCAAAGATTTCATGATGAAGACACCAAAAGCAGTTGCAACAAAAGCAAAAATTGAAAAATGTGATCTAATTAAACAAAAGAGCTTCTGCACATCAAAAGAAACTGTCAACAAACAGACAACATACAGAATGGGGGAAAATTTTTGAAAATTATGCATTTAACAAAGGCCTAATATCTAGTATTTGTAAGAAATTTAAATAAATTTACAAAAAAAATCCAATTAAAAAGTGGGCAGAGGACATGGACAGACACTTCTCAAAAGAAGACATACATGCAGCCAACAAGCATATGGGAAAAAAACTCAGCATCACTGATCATTAGAGAAATGCAAATCAAAAGGACAATGACATACTATCTCACACCTGTCAAAATGGCTGTTACTAAAAAGTCAAAAAATGTCAGATGGTGGTGAGGTTGTGGAGAAAAAGAAATGTTTATATACTGTTGATGGGTTCAACCATTGTAGAAGACAGTGTGGCAATTCCTCAAAGACCTAAAGTCAGAGCTAACATTCAACCCGCAATCCCATTACTGGGTATATACTCAAAGGAATAGAAATCATTCTATTATAAAGACACATGTACATGTATCTTCATTGCAGCAGTATTCACAATAGCAAAGATGGAATCAACCTAAATGCCCATCAGTGATGTGATAGACTGGATAAAGAAAATGTGGTACATATACACCATAGAATACTGTGAAGCCATAAAAAAGAATGAAATCATGTCTTTTGCAGGGACATGGATGGAGCTGGAGGCCATTATCCTTAGCAAACTAACAAAGGAACAGAAAGCCAGATACTACGTGTTCTCATTTATAAGTGGAAGCTAAATAATGAGAATACATAGACACACAGAGGGGAAAAATACATACTGGGGCCTACTTGAGGGCAGAGATTGGGAGATTAGGGGGAGTAAAAGGATCAGAAAAGGTAAGCAATGAATACTAGGTGTTATAACTGGGTGATGAAATAATCAGTACAACAAACCCCCATGACACGCATATACCTATATAACAAACCTGCGCATCCTGCACATGTACCCCTGAACTTAAAATAAAAGTATAGATAGATAGATAGAGTTTATAATATATATAAAGTTTATGTATATATAAATTCTTTAAATCTGTCATACTGTCACACCAGAAAGCACATATACTAATTTGGGTAAAGTGCTCAAAATTATTGTGATTGATATTTATGAATTTGAAATGAATTACATAAAATACTATACAAAGTGATCATGCCTCTGTTATAAAGGCTGTATTGATATTTAATCATATAAACAATTTGCCTTGTATATATCCAGATACTCTGACTAGAGCAACCAGGCAAGAGAAAGAAATAAGGAATTTCCCCTAGGGCATTTTATCAAGTTGCTAGGAAAGTTAATTTAGTTGTGGCACTACCGGCCAGCACTATTTATTTCATGTTGCTTCCTTTGCTGACACTGTTACATGTCCTGGGGACGATAAACTTGGCGTTATCACTGTGTGCCTGCTTGTGTTGACTCCTTTACATCCTATGATAAATTCTCAATATGCAAGTTTGGGGTGCTTTCTGAGGGACCTGGCATTAAAGCTTTCTTTCTTGAGACCTGAAAAATAAAAGGAAACTCCACCATGGCTCCCTTCCACCAGGCTGACCTGGGTAATCCAGTGCCAACTCCTTCGGCAAAGGTGCCACTCCATTCCTGGGTCTCCACAGAGCCTCCATAGCTGCTGCATGCTTCTTCATGGAAGGAAAGGCAAACTAGGGGACTATTTACACTTCAGGATTCCTGATTTCCCTGTATCACTTCCAGATATTCCAGGATGACAGCCATTCTTTCCTAACACACTGGTTTCATAGGTTTTATGTAACCAACTGGTTGGTGAGACAGATTTGACTTTGCTAACATCAAACAGTTTGCCACAACTTTCTCTCCAAACATATACTATACTTCTAGATTTCACTCAATTTCATTTTTTTTCTTGGTTTTGAAGGGCTTCTCCCCAAACATACATTTTCTCAACAGTGATCCTATATTGTTTGCAGCTCTCTTGTTCTAGAACCATAATTCTGTCTCTAACCTTCCTACAGATGCAGCTGTGCTAACTCCTTTCCCCTATCTTCCTGAAAATAAAAATAACGGACTCTAATTTATGACATTCAAAGATGCCATTTTCTTTTCTATCTTTATGGTGACATAAGCCTGTCCCAAAAATGGGGTAGTGAGAAGGGGTAGGGAGGCAAGCAGAACGCTCAGTTTGGGAATGGGTGTCTGAGGACTTTTGTGAGGAGAGCTGCTGCCCACCACGTGGAGTGGAGGGAAGGTAAAGCAAAGCAAAAGGCCTCGCTTCAACAAGATTCTCCAAAAGGACCTTCGCAGGAATTAAAAGATCGGTTAACTTTTATGCAGTAATTTAAATATGAATCATTCAGTATTTGCTTTCCAGATTTTTAATGCTTTGAGAGATGTTTAAAAATAACTTGTTTCTGTAATGTTATATATAAAAGTGGAAAAATGTATTTCATTTATATGAAATGTATATTTTTATTTTTCTGACATTGCCCTTAAATTGAAAAATTTCTTCCTTAATGTTCAATTTGCATTTACTTTAGAGTGATAAAACAAGCATTCTGTTTTAGGTTCTTGGAGATTATTTCTCAGAGAAAACAAGTAAGACTAATTGGGTTTATCATAAATCTTCATAAAGTCTATGTGAACAGAAAAAAAAAGTGTGCTTTTCTTCCCTGGAAATACAATTTTATTACATATCATTAAAGAATTAATACATCTAATTTTATAGAAAAAAATTCTATCAGAATTTAATTGTAACTTCTGGAGGATAGTCTTAGCTTTAAGAGACTACACAATCAATATGCAAAATATTAGACATGTTGGGGCCTCCAAAAAACATTCATTCATTGAAAATTTAAAGATACTATGATGAATACTATAATAATTGTTATTGTATTGTTTTATAAGAAAGATTTTTTGGATTGGGAGTTCTTCCTATGATAACTATTTCAGGGACAGGGTTCTCACAGTACTGAGAAATATATTTCCTCTCAAAATTTCCCCTGAAGTAATTGTAATACCTCCTCCCAAAACCTGTCCATGATACTTGACACAAAAACAGCAACAAATTGCATTGTTGTTTTTTAGGGTTGGGTACAGCACAAAACAGAGTTTGTGAAAAGATACTTGTTATAAACCATTTTCTGTTTACAAATGTAACAGAAACAAATAATTTTCTTATCAGAACCTAAATTCTGACACCATACGGCAGTACAACAATATGCCATTCAAAAAGGGGAAATAAGCTGGGCATTTGGAAAATCACTGGGAAACATCTCCCCAGTCCCTGAGAAGACCTATCTTTAAGCCAAATTGAATTATTTTGAAAACTCATAAATGATATTAGCTGAGGTTAAGTGACAGAAGTGAAGGTGAGGAGAAAATGTGCTATTTAATGAGAGGGACAGTTGGGTGATGTCAGAATACTGACAAGAGATCTCTATCCATATTACATGATCTAGCCAAAAAAGTGTTGATGCACCTTCCTTACATATGAGTTTTGAACACATTCAAACAACCAAAACAAAACTCTTGGCGGGGTGTGGTAGCTCATGCCTGCAATCACAGCACTTTGGGAGGCCGAGGCAGGTGGATCATTTGAGGTCAGGAGTTCGAGGCCAACCTGGACAACAAGATGAAATCCTGACTCTACTAAAAATACAAAAATTAACCGGGTGTGGTGGTGCATGCCTATAGTCCCAGCTACTTTGGAGGCTGAGGCAGGAGAATGGCTTGAACCTGGGAGACAGAGGTTGCAGTGAGCTGAGATCATGCCATTGCACTCAGCCTGGGTGACAGAGCAAGACTCTGTCACAAAAACAAAAACAAAAACAAACTTCTGAAATCTCAAGGTCATTTGGGATAATGACTGTTGTATTTTATGACAAGGCACATTTTTCTATACAGATTAATTCTTACGCAATTCAGCACTTAGGGACAAGTTGTGAATCATTACACATATAATTATAAAGAGAAAAACAAAGTTATTCACAGAATTTTTATTGAGGAAGTGAAGATGAAATTAATTGCTTTTAGCTGGGTCACAGTACATTTCAGGGATAAATGGTTAATTTTCTTGAAATGATAAATTTGAGGTAGCAGTTATATTATTCTGTGTAAGTGTTGTAGTATGTTGTATCTGTTTACACAGAGTATAGAACCTATTGAATGTCCATGTCTAACTTGAAGTGCTAATGTAG